CCAGTGGATAGAAGATACATGCTGGCGGCAATTAGCAATGCCGTGCAGCTTGCAGAAGACAAACACTATTGTGTGGAAACGAGGTTGTATCCCGCCGCCGTTTCCGGCCTGATCGGTGAGGCGTCAGTTAAGCAGCTCAGCATCTCCTCCAATAACCGAGGCGGAAAGGAATTACTGGGTAGGAAGAGGAGGGGTGGATGGAGCAGCCGAACCCTGCATGAGAAATCCCGTGGTCAATTTGCCAATAATAGTGATAACACGCTGTCTCGCTAGTGCTGTACCTTGGTACTTAGTGTCTTGGTTTGGATTCCGTGCCTCACAGGACCTGGTTGAGTTGGCACTGTGACAGCTGACTGATCGAATCCGTGCCCGGAATGAAAGGCTATTGAGAAAGGATTGTGACTCAGTCAATGTGGTATCGGGGGCCCAACTTCCTTGGCGGGACAGGTATTGGATGATGGTGGAGAGCTATTTGTTAGTTACACAATGGCAGACGCTGTGGCTGTGAGTAAGATGATGCAGGGACCGGGATTGAACAGGATGATTCAAGTGCCCGATGCGGGGGAAGAGGCCAAGAAAAAGACACAAAACAGGAGAAGATGTGCAGGCCATCGTTGAAACCAATGGCAGGTGGAATGAGAAAAAGAAGATAGAAAAGAGAGAGAGAGAGTAAATGAAAGGATGATGGAGGGAGAGACAGACAAGACGGGAAGTGCCTGACCCAAAGCACCTGCCTGATCGGGACTGGTATGGCACGGGACCTCCTCTCCACCACTAGTAGTACTTCATGACCACATCTTGGATCTCCACTTGAGACAACAAACTAGTAGCACAGACTGAATACCTGGATGGTATACAGGTGCATTAGCCGGTCCGCTCAAGTTGCTGCGACTGAGCAATTTTTGAGGGTATGAGTACGGTTTGTTCCACAACGTCCTATCAATAACATCTTGATTGATCCCATCTGCGGGTGTTTGTTTTTTCATCCTAGCAGATAATCCTCTCCATATGCTGTCAGCTTCCACTGTATGGAGAGAAATATGAACCGACTGTATCGACTCAACAGATGCTACGCAGAATTGACAGTGACAAGAAGATCCCTCCCAAGCGGTCAATGGGTGGTGTTCACTGCAAGGGTGATCGGAGCAGCAGCAGCAGCGGCATAGACATACCTGAAGAATGCCCGGCAAGGGTGGTCTACAAGAAGTCGAGATCCTCTTCGATTCATCGATCTACCTGCTTCCCTTGTTGACAATTGGCCGCTTGCCAGCCATACAGAGTTCAATCAACATACACTACTGCATCTCTCCGACGAAGCTAAGTTTACTATAACCCGAGTAGCATGCGTTAGGTCATTCATTTTCTCATGTCGTACTTTTCGACTCTGTATGTACATAAAATGGGAACAATTGCCCCGTGCAGGGGGACAAATTAGGCACATGAAGTACATAAGAAATAAGCATCAACCGATCCAAGGTTCGCAGGATTTCGAACCCGGTACGTAAAAGCCCGCGAACGCCAAGCGCCCATCTCCCTTTGATGCACACATATGTTGTAAAAGGGGCCTATTTCAACAAGCAGCCAAACAAGATCGCCAAGAGCAGTGCAGAAAGCAAATGAGTTCTAAATCATGGCACAAATATGAAACAACGTCGCAACAGTGTCTCCAAGCCGCTTAAAGACTCAGGCCGAGTTCCGCATCGAGGTCGGCTGCGAAAGTGTTCATATCGTTCCGTGATGCCGCAGCGCGATCGTCGGCAAGTTGTCCGTCTCCCAAGCCGGTTAGACCAACGCCTTGTTTCTCAGTATCGAAGCCCATGATGTCGGAAAGATTGTTCATGGTACCCAAGCCGAAGCCATAGTTCTTCCCATTACCATTCCCGGTATTCAAGCCATCATCGGGGGTAAGGAAGTCCGCACCGGCATCGTCAAAGTTGATCAAGGCATCGAAGTCGTTCTGGGTTACTTCTGCATCATTCGCCAGATCCATGAGCTCACTGATGCTCAGCTCCGAATCGAAGTTGGGGATGGCGAAGGCATCCTGGTGATAACTGGGGTTGATGTTGCTGGTGCTCCCATTCTCGCTACCGTCGGAGGGAGGGGGCGTTGATGCGAACTCAGGACCGCTTTCCTTGGGAAGCTGGCTGGCACGTCTTGCGCCATCGGATTTCGGATACGTCAAGTCAGGGATCTTCTGCGCGAGAGAGTCGGGGGGTGGGGTCAAAGTGTTGACGCGTGCTGTGTCAACTATGCTGTTCGTCCGTGCCTGTACATCTTGCGGCGCTACTGTAAGCTGAATTCCGGCCTTGCGAATGGCAGCCTCCAAAAATGACGTAGCGAAGTCTGCCGATGCATAGATTTCTCTCAGACGTTGTAATATGCGCATGCACTGGTAGAACCGGTGAAGGCTGGTCATCCGAACGTTGTGGTCACTAGACTTGATGTCGAGGAGATGAATAATCACAGCGGGAAGTAGGACCGTAACGCCAGTTGTAGGGAAATAGCGGGTCAGGTCTAGGCTGTGTAGATCCTGGGCAATATTTGTAATTTCGATCGCAGCAAACCGCACCTTATTCCTAGAAATCTCCTGTAGTTCGGCGTCCATCGAAGGGAACGGGATCGCAGGTAGGACCTGAGGGCGATGGAGAGCGCTGGATGTGGTCAAATAAACCATCTTCAGGAGTGCACGATGAGAGTGAAGAACTTCCTGCGCCTCATTTAACTTGGAGGGCGCTGCGGGGGCGTAGCGTATCTCTGTCGGAAGATGGGCCAGCCAGTCTTCCAGCTCCTGATCACAACGACGAACCTCGAAGGTCTCCGCTGCTGATTTCTTGGGTACCAACATCATGGTGGTTTCCATCGTTCCACCAAACTTGTGGCTTAGGACCGAATATTGAGCCGACAGAACATGGCTCACACAGAGACAAAGTTTGGCCTTCTCAATGAACATCAAAGCCAGCTCTCTCTGATGGCTCACGCTCTGAAGAATCTCCGAGTTGCCTACCATGCTCACAATTTCCGGCGAGAAGGGATGAAACTCGAAATCGTCAAGAGTCAACATCGGAACATCACAGTCATCGTCCTTCACGCGCATGGGACGTCTCATTCCCAAGGCGATCAGACGATCACGCGTATATGTGCTCCACCAAATCCGTTTCCACATCCGCTGGCGCCGGACATCCATACGGGAGTTGCCGGGGTCACGATGCAGGCCAATGGTATGTGCGAGGGACAAGCTCACACCCATCCAATGCCAGGTATCCTTCTGGTCATCAGGCGTCTCATACCAGTAGGTCATTAGCAGTAATGATTGGACGAGAGAGATTCGGTCAACTTCGTAGTCGAAATCATAGAGAAGTCGCGCGCGCTGAAAGAAAGCTTTACGAGCTGCCTTTCTGGTGGGGTATCCGGCAGCGTGGAGATGCTTCAAGTCGATAAAAGCTGTGCCGGCGAACATCACGGCTTGGAATAACAATAGGCTCATACGGCGGATGCCATCGTTCTGAACGATCGTCTGCAGGAAGTCTTCTAGGTCAAGGAGGGGCATATAGGTGTGGACGTAGTGGATGTAGCTTTTCAGCAATTCATTGCGTAGTCCCACGTCGGGGACAGTCAAAGCTCCTTTCATGGACAAATAATCGATGTCCTCTTTTTGCAGACGTGGCGGCAATCCGCGGATGTAGTCTGGTAAGACAACACCGCCAGACCTGGTATTGGCAAAGGAAGGGTCCAGCAGCTGTTGAATCTGCGAAGTCACATGGTGCAAAGGAAGCGTCGCTGGGACAGCGGGATTCGGGGCCATTCTTCTTCGATAGCGATCCCCGGAGCCAATTCTGTTCGCTTGGCTTTGATCTGTACAAGTACGCATTAGCATCTTATCGAAAATGATACAGTAGAGATGGGTCATTTGCCACGATCTCCGAACTAATCGAGGTGGGATACGAACATAAAAGATGTGGCATATGCTGCCCCTGATCCAGATCTACAGAGCGCTGCGAGGGAGAAGCCGGAGCCATATCGGAAAGGCCATGACACTCGCTAAGTCGCCTGAACAGACTAGCCCCGTCATCGGGGATTTCTGCAGGGGATTGAGACAGCTGATGAGGGTTTGCATTATCGACCTCAACACGTGATTTCCTGAACAGTGGCAACAAGGCGCGCTCGTGGTTAGCCGGCACTTCTGTGGAGGGAAAACGGAAGACATGTATTCGACGTGGACGAACTTTCTCCTCTTGCTCTCAGTAACAATGCACTCTACTTGGTCCAGGCGGCAATTCGTGCAGGGCGAACCATTTTCGACCACATCACACCGCACTTTGCGAGCCCGACAGCAGCAGCACGCCTTGGACGCCCTCCGTTTTACAGGGCGGGCATTGGCGGGCAGACCGGCAGTGGAGGCTTTCCTCTTGGATTTGGCCTCGGTTTCCACGGTGGATTGAGGGGTGGGAGAAGTTGTTGATACAGCAGTGTTAGTCATTATGCAAAGCGTGAGTTCAGTTGGAACCAGATCATCCGTGAGAAGGCCAGCCTTTTTGTCGTATCAATGGTGAAGAGGAATTGCAGAGAAACGGCGTGGAGAAGTATAGCGATAATCAGAGTAGGATAATCAATGCGACTTTCGTGGTAGATAAAGAGGATTATAGGTAATAGGACAAAAATGGCGAGGGTAGGAGTAAGGAGTAAGTAGTAGGAATTGGAACAAGAGAATGGTGGAGGAAGAGGTGTGTAGTAGGAAAAGGAAATCCAGAACGTGACCCAACAGAGGTAAAAGTAACAAGAGTGGAGAGGGTTCCTTTTGATTTTTATGTTCCTTTTTTTTTTTCTTTTCAGTTTTTCTTTTTTTTAATTTATTTAAAATAAATCCATACAGGAATTAAGTTAGAGAATCACTTTCCGCCGGAAGGGGGAGAGAGAGAAAGAGGAAAAAAGGAATCACAGGACCACGTTCCAATCTTTTCGTCCAAAGGGACGAAAATCGAGACATGACCTGGGGCTGGGGAGGAGAATGTTTAAGTACGATTGAACTAGTGTCAGTAGCAGCAGCAAATGTCGCAAGTGCCTTTTCCAACCGTCAGTCAAAAAACCAGTCAGTCAGGAGGCGTTGGCGTTGGGGATGATGAGCCCCAGATCCACTCGCCATGGTCGCCTCCCCCAGACCAGAACCGTGGAATTCCGCCTAGAAAGTGGAAACCCAATGGCGGACGGTGTGCTCCGTACTAGACTTTGAGACTAGGGGAAAGGAAAAAGAGGACCTGACCCGGGTTAATCATCATCATCATCCTCATCATCGGGGTTGTCATCGTCGTCGTCAAACCGCGCCGGGGGATTTTAGTTGAGTAGTGAAAAAGACTCTTGCTACCTATTGTGGACTAGACTATACTCACTAGTCACGCTGGCCAGAAAAGAAGGCCGGCGCTAGTGCGGGTCCGTATTTACCTCAGACCGCATCGACTAGTCCCTTTTTGGGGGGAGTTGGAGGCTTGGGAAAAAAGGAAAAGCGGGTTCCAGTCGGAGTGGTGGGGGAAAGGAAATAATAATCAGAATTTAATAATTATAATACCTATGAAAAAGACACAATCAGATTACGGATGTCTTTTTGAGCCAGTCGTTGCGCATTGCTTACTGTACAAAACACCCCCACTGGAGATGCCAACGACCATTCAGAAATTCATGACTGTTTGTAAAGATCCACCACCAAACGCAGGACCCCCTCCTCCTCCGACCAAAACAAGTTTAGTGAAGTACTTACTAAGTATTTAGTGGTTTCCACCCAGTTCCTCAGCTTCCGTTCCACAGCCGGTTTTTTTCTCAGTGTGTAAAACTACAGTAGGGAAGTAGTAGTCTACCCATTTCAGTCAAGTGAACCAACTCCCGTCCCCTTACTCCGTATTTTCCGTCCTCTTAGCCCGTCCCCCCTCCCTCTCTTCCTCCTCTTCCCCACCACTACTAAGGAGTAGCAACGGACCCAGAAGAAGGCGATGGCAGTTTTCCATACCCGATTGAGGGGAGGGTGGTCTCCATCGGCCCGGTCACGTTACTGGCCCTGTCCGCCACAACCAGTCATCGGCAGCTTGGCCACCACCGGAGGGGACCGGGAGCAAATTCAAGATCCTGCCATTGGTCTGAACAAAACGTGCTATCTCCAATCCCCATGAGACAAGACACAAGACTCTGGAAACCTTTCCCCATCGAGTGTTTACAGTGGGAAACTTTTATTTGGTAGAATATTCCTTCGCGACTACTTTTGACCCTAGGACATCCTCAAAACTGTCATGGCGCTCTTCTTCCGTGCAGGGATGCAGCCAGGGGCGGTATACATACGGAGTAGTGCGGTGACTTTTCCGGAGTCAGTTAGTCAACTAACACACACACACACACACACACACACACACAGACACCAAGGGAGGATGCGTCATATTTGGTGTCGGAAAAGATTCCGGCTCTTGTGACTTCTTTTGCTTGCATGCACTCGCAACTCTGGACTGGAGATGCACGGCGTCTCAGAAACTCGGGTCTGCTTCCGTCGGCTTCCCTTCCATTGCCCCCCCTTTTACGTCAGTCAGTCAGTCAGATAGGTAGGCTCGAAAATAGTGAATATCACCAGAATGTAAATCATTCGGCTCTTTGTCTCTAATAAGATTTTCTTTCCCACTGGAACCGTATTGCGAAGCGTAAGTCTACTACTGTGTGTTCTTTGATCGGGGATCGGCCCCTGCGGTACGGAGTACACATCACGATCTCCCTTTTGCTGAACAGCCGAGTATGGGTCAGCCAGCCAGATATCACGGAACCGAGGCCCGTAAGCGCTCCGTTTAGATTATCCCGTATGCTCTCTAGTTATCTACCATTCCTTTTGCGTAATATACTGTGCGCCTATGGTGATCTCGGACTAGGGTGGATTTCTCTGCGCTATCAAAGCCTACCTCGATGATCGTTATGATAAGACATACACACATGCACAGCGGTCCTCTTTACTCACGAATTCATTTTGTTGATGAACTGTCGTCTCCTTGGTCGGATCGCGCTGAGAAAAACCCTCTACGTATGAGCCAGTAGTTAGCCATTGTCACAACACAAATATCCGTTAGATAGAATGACTTGGAAAATAGTGCAGCCTGCAGCTTGTTTGCACTCGGTATTCCGATGACCCATCCAGTGCGGACGGTGCCCATGTCATGCGGTCTCGAAGCCGGAAGCAGAGAGGACTAAGTCTTGAAGTTGGTGGAGAGGGAGTGGACTTATGACGATCATGCACATATCGTTTTCCCCTGTTGAAAACTTAGTAAGTTACATTGTAGTACAGCGGGCCTTTTGGGGAGAAAGGAAGTCAACTAACAAGGTATCATTGCCAATGCATCAGGAATTAATAATGGACCAGGTGGTTGTCGCTGGCCTACAGCATCCAGACCCGGGAGAGACTAAGCCCAGTTGCCAGGCGCTATGCAGCATGAGGGATAGGAGCAGGGCAGGCCCGCCCGCCAGCTGCCCAATGTAGGATCGCAGCCGATCCCGCATGCCGATGGAGGGGCGAATCGTTGGGCCGGACCAAACCTGGGACGACACTGGGAGTTGGGAACGGTATCCTGCGGTTTAGTTCGTTCGGGGGATTAATTATTTGGACAGAATTCAATAAATGCGGTCACTGTTTGGGAGACCCACTGAAACTAGGAACTGGAGAAAAGCGGGAGTCCTTGGATTCGGCTCGCCCGCCGCATCGAGACCTAGTAGTACTCTCCGGATGAGTCGTTTAGATCCTTACAATGTTCCTCCTTACGCATTGAAGAATATCATTATTGAAGAAAAGGTCTCGAGAACTGTAGCATCATATTTGTAGGTAAACGTCATCAATAGGAGCAAACCGACGTTTAGTTCTGGATGTAGGTAGCGTTGAATGGGTCGTGAAATGGTGCTGGTCACAGACTGGGGCAAAATATCGCGCGGGTGGATCGGCCCCAAATTCTTGATGCTGTTGGCGCTGCTGCTACACACACACACACACACACACACACACACACACACACACACACACAAACACATTGTGCATGCGAGTTGTCAGTCAAAATTCATAGGAGCAGCAAAATAAATCATCGCAGCAATGGGGTGCAAAGCACACCTTGCTCTAGACCTGGCCACTAGGCTTTACGGATGAATAATATTAATCATCATCCAAACCCTGCGTGAATTATTACCCCTGCAATGTGATCTCCCCGAATCATATTCATGGAAGGAACATCAACAACAAGCTCATCCACGTGATAGAGGGTCCGATGTCACGCTTAATAGTGCCGACAACCGGAGAAGACGAACCCTCTCGCAAGGTAGCAAGGAGTGTTCTGTTGGCGTTGTCCAATAGTTCCGTCGGAAATTGCGAGCCGTAAGGGCCCAGAATCTGAGCGGGTGACCTGTGAGCTCGCTGGCTCCCCAGACGGGATAATATTATCTAGCTGGCGCCCGAGTGGAGTATTGGAGGGACCAGCAGACTACTACTGTGTAGTAGTGTGTACGTATTGCCAAAGGCTATTTGTGGCTTGAGAAGAGATCGGGGGAGCAGCGAGAATCGGAGGAAAGAGCTCGGTACCCCACAAGTAGAGGGAAAGGATGGCGCACTGGGGTAGAACCAGGCACCTATGATGAGCTTAGAGCCTTCCGGTTCCCTCCAGGTGGATAACCAGATAGCTCTCTTTCTGTTTCATGTACAGTGTCGTAATGAAGGGTGGCATGAAAGGGCGGTTCCTTGCTGTCAATGTGTGCCATCACAACACGCTGCATGCCACTACTGTGGGAAAAGCCCTACACCTATATGTGATTGGATCAGCTTGTTGTAGTTTAATCAGTTCATGCCTCAATTCCTGATAAAGAGTGAGTAAGGCACAGCTGGCACTATAACGACGTAGTTATCTTAGACATCTTCCTATTTTAAAAGTGCTAGCCGTTATAGTTTGTCCATTTTCACATGAATATTTTGTGGTCACCCTTTGCCTCGCAAGCAGTACTACTAGAGGGTAAAACAACGAGATTTCCATGCCGTAATTAGGGATTGATTGACTGGACCACGATGAAAATACGGGGGACCAAGCAGTGGCTTAAGACTTAGTACGTAGTATAGGTAAGTATACAGTAAGTAGTAATTCGTGGGGGAAAAACGAACCAACGCCCAAGCGGTGGTGATTGGTCCGTGTGGATAATCTCCGACCATCACGAGGGATTTCCCCCACACCAATCAGTGACATTTGAGCGGATTCCCATGTGGGACTCCCACAGCTGACTAACCGTCGGCTGGAGGACGATTGGCCACCAATCATAAATCGCGTAATGCTCCCCGAATTGGACACAGAAACGTGGAGTTGCTCCCGATCGGGGAAAGACCGGGATTTTCTCGTTTTTCCCTGGACTGGCGAAATGGAGCTGTGACGGTGCCGGTTGTTTTACTTGAAGTCGGTAGCCTTAGCTTTTTCGTGTCTGGGGCAAGTTACGTATCATCCCCAGTCATCAGCTGCCATTAATAGTAAGGGGCATGGAATTGGGATTGGGTCACTTTTCGACCCCAGAGCCGAATTTCGCTTGATCCATCTACTGCGGGCGATCGAACCTTCCAGCTCCAGTTTCTCCAGCCAACATTCCCGCCTTTGCCCCAGTTTCACCCCCCTTTTTTTGTTCTCGGACTGCTCCGTGCTATCTTTTCAGAACTAACCCGGGGAGGCCGGGGAGCTGGCTTCTTCTCTCAGATTGATAGATAGACAGGAACCTGATCTTTCGCATTCCTTTTCCCCTTACTTGTGATATCATATCATGCGCCCCTCTACTATCCTTGCCTACTATTTAGTTCAGTTGGAACATCCTGTACGTAATTGGTGGATAGTATGAAAGTGCAACACCTGCACACTTTTCCTTATATCCTATAGAAAGTAAGTAGACATCTTCCCACCATGGAATCACAGATAGAAAAATACTCAGCCACAGTGGCACGCTCCCCGCTACTTACTTGCCATTCAGCGGATAACCCCAGATCCGGGGGGGGAGCCTAGGAGCGTCTTGCCTGTTCCGGTAATCATACCTATCAAGGAAGGATACCCTCGATAAGCGGCCTCGCCCGTAGAGTATAACTGAGGGATATAACTACATTACATACCAATCCCATGACTCATTCTATAGTTCTGTACGGAGTATCCCAGTCCACCCGTTCAACTTGAGCAAGGGGGCAGCAGATACATTAACTGCCGCAGTCGGTCTCTCTTATGTATATGTACGTACTCGGACATCTTGCCGAGCAAGCTTGAGCTCGAACATGGCAATCCGAGAGCCATGGCCCTGCTTGCCACCCCACGTTCTTTCATGTCTGCTGCAAGCCACCAGCGGTAACCCGATGGACGGGAGAGGGGAGAAGAGGGGAGAGAAGGCTGGGTAAACTCACAGGCGGAATAAAGGAATCACCACGACGGAAATGAAGTCATACCGTGCATGGCTAACAAGGTTTAGGCGAGTCCGAGAGAGGTCCGTGTCAGAAGACTTGCGCTGCACGAGGTGGGCCTGACAGATGGAGAAGGAGAGCTGTCGCATGCCCATCCTGCTACTACTTGATCTGGCCCCGGCTATGGGTGTGAATATTTGATCCCTTAGGGGATTGTTGCAGGACTTGACTCATTGACTGCTCGGAAATCCCCGCATGACTTTTGAATAAAACTGTGATGGCCATTGAAGCTAGTCGATGAACTGCGGACATTTTCGTGTTGGTCTGTCAATTTTTGATGGATGCGGTGCAGATCGCGGGGTAACCCCGCCAGATGATAGCAGGATTCAAGTTGTAGCTGATGAACAGAATACTACTATTCCTCCGGTATATTTTCGTCCAAGCAACTGATGTTTTACATCTTGTGAGATTATTGGCAGCATTCTCGTATACTGTTGAATGATTAGCTGATGGCTACTACTCATTAATCCTATAAGCGTGTTGAGATATATATTCAGTTCCCGACGCTTGGCGTAGTATAGAGTGAACTTAACGTGGCATAAGGAATTGAACCCCTCACTCTAGCAGCCAAGAGCACATCCAAGTACTAATACCGGCCTATTCTTAGTGCATACTACCTGTATTTCTGCTAGTGACTTTCTGTACGCGAAGGAGACAAGGCCATAAAGGACTAGATGTAGTAAGAGAAGGTTGTTTTCGAGAGGATCAAGTATGAGTTCGCTCATCCATCCATTCATCGTCAGCCTTATCCACAACCAAGTGCTTGTGCTTACGATTAATCTTCCCAAAAATACATATACACTGTATATATTATTTACCTTCTGCATGCCAGAAATGAAGAGCTTACTATTGTGACTGGTAGTTCGGCCAAGTTGTGACATGTTATTGGATAGTGGTCATACTGAACTATATGTAAACATACTCCAGGGTTAAACTAGCGCTCTTTACTGATGGATGACTTCCAGCTTCCCTAGGTAAGCTCATGGAATGTCCGACAGTTTACAAATATGTATCAATCCATATATATACACATATATACATGTGTGTATGTATGTGTGTAGGATTGTCTGGTGCTATAATAATCACCCTGAATAGTAACCCATATACATGTACACATATACATATTGGATAGTTGAAGGCTGGCCCTTCATCAGACGACTATGCATAAGATATAGTGGGCTAGAATCCTACAGCCACCAAAGACTACAGTGGGGGAAACATTTTATTCGGACATATATTCGATGCCAGAGGAAAAGGTAACTAGATAGCTCGAGGAAGGTTATAGAGGCAGTTCTTGGAATTTACCAACAGTCAGATCTCTCATGTCCTTCTCATATTGTTCACTTTCTTTCGAGTCCTCCATAGCATTGTACGCTTATCTACAATTTCTTCTCTAACACCCCGCGCAGTATCACCTCTACAAGCCTCCGTGCTCAAGCAACAAGCTGCCGTAATATTCACTTACTCCCCTTACACTTCCGACTTTCTATTATCTTTTTCTTGTCCGTTGCTCCTGTGGACTTTCGGCCATAGTGCATCGCTCCAAACCAGTCGGGTCTGACGACACGATGTATCAGTGATGCTAATTTTGGTTTGAGCAGAACCTCTGCAGACAAGAGAACAAATAGCGACTCCAGTAGAGACTAAGATATCAAAAGTGAGGACCCTGATAATGCAAGCAAATTATGCGAGGGTACTTTCATAAATGAAAGTCATCTGCCCCAGAACATGATCTAGCCCGGGATGAGAGCTTCGACGTTTGTCAGATTCGACAGAAACAGTACGATAAAAGCACCCAGGAAAGGCTTGATAAATCTCGAATGTGCTGGGATATGTAGATAAGCTCCGTGACTTTCAAGCTACGTCAAAAAAACATTGGCTGATCTCTGGGCAAATACTGGCAACAGATTGATGTTGATCCAGTGCAGTGGAAATAGATCTTAAGCTCTGGTGAGATGCTTTGAATTTTGTACGCATTATACGGTTGGATGTGTGATATTTTGTTGGGGAAATAATGGTTGCTAATGCTCAGGTAATGTGCGTAAGAGCTTGCTGGAGTTATTGTGGAAGTGGTGATCCTTTTATCCTGATGTATGAAATGGTATCTAGGCTCAGAAAAGACCTAGAAACCAATGTAAATGGTGTAAGTACCTAATTTACATTCTACCCTGTTCAAATAAGGTACAGATACTGATGTAGAAGAGGCCATTGCCTAAGTCTCATTTTCAATTATAAACTGAACAGGAATTGTATATTGAGGATGTAAATATGCTTAAAGCGTATGGGTAATCTTTGCTACTAATGAGATAATACTTGACTATGTTTGACAGCGTGTCTAACTTCTTTTACCCTGTTTGTTTGTGGCTATTACTACCAACTACTTGTGATGCTCCTTCACCTTCGGTATAGGAATATATTGTCAGATCTGAGTTAAGAATTCAAGGCAGGTCCCCTCATCCGATCATCCTCACCTAATCACTTTATTGATGCTGTATCTTATTGAGCCACTTCTTGGAGAAGGCTGTGTATGTGCTCTGACTCATGCAATCTCTTAGAATACCGAATTATAATCGAGTCAAGTCAGTAAAAATAAATTCGATATATCCGGGATACTTTGTACACTTACTTTGATCTATGCTTACTTATTGTTATTGTGTGTTTTTTATTCTTTTTCTTTTTCTTTTTCTTTTTCTTTTTCTTTTTCTTTTTCTTTTTCTTTTTCTTTTTCTTTTTCTTTTTCTTTTTCTTTTTCTTTTCTTTGTTATCCAAGGTTTCAAGTTTCAGGATGAAATACCAGATAAATCAATATTCTGTTATGTGCTTATACCTTCTCTGCTATACCAAAATCCAGGCATTTTACACAAGAAGTAAGTTTATTCTCAGCATATAGAGAATTGGGTACTGATAATGGGTAGGAGATGTCATAGACGCTCTCTAAAATATAAGTCTAGATTATTCTGATATCTGTACCTCTATCCAATACTTGAGATCGATGTTTATATCAATGTTCAGGATTCACCTGCAAGACTCGGTCATCCACGCTACTATGGCGCGCTGAAGATCTTAAGTAACTCGAAACCTTGACTCTCTCCTATTGAGTCTATGTCTCTTGGTAATCTCCTTAATGATCCATGCACAGCGGAAGACAGCGACTGAATGAACGCAAAGCGGAAGTATAAAAAAAATGTGCGGGACAGAGCTACTGGAGCAGAAAACTATTCGTTCAATTAACGAAATCTATGCTATAGAGCAGTTGTGTACAAATATATTCTAGAGAAACTCATATAAGAGTAGTAAAGCATGATTATATATATAGTTTAAAATGAAAATTTATCCAAGTGAATTTTGAAATAACGTTCAACTAATTCCCCGGTTGTACTATATAATATAAGTTATCTTTTTTTGTCCATAATATACATCAACAGAAACATCCACCCTTATGTCAAAACACCGCTATATCATAAAGCGGATCTTGGTAGGCCCATGGAAGGAGGCTATGCTATCTCCCAGCGCAAAGAACTACACTTCCTAGGAACCCTCTCTTGGCCACTTTCACCGGCCTTCAGGGTATCTCGTGAATTCTAGCAGTACGGGCAATACTGCTACATCTTTCTCTGCTCTGGCATCTAGACTTGTGCAACTACCTCAGGATTATACCAAGCAGCCCGCTCCTTTCAGGTAATATACTTGGGCCTCGGCTAGTAAGTCGCCTTAAGTTGACTACTACACTACTTAGCCTCCAACAAACTTTCTCGAAGTTGTGTGTATTTTCTTGGTGTGTGTATATAAAGTGGATCACTTACATCGATACTGCTATGATCTTGTCCATTGGGAGGAATAAAATACGCATACACACATATTTGTCTAAACTTATTGTAGACTAGTGCCGTGTAAGGCAAAAAGAGAGGAAATCTGTGGAAGCCAAACTTGTTCACCACAGTATAACAGAGGAAGAGTAGTACAGCTGCCTCGAGACAAGTGCTATCTGAGGCATTACTGTTATTTGTGTGCTTGATTGCTTGCCGTCATGCTTAGGATTCTGCTTAGATGGCACCAATTGAAAAATTGTCACACCATCGAGATCGACTGTAGAGCTATATACAGTATTTTTAGATGCCCCATCTTCCCCTTCCCCCTCCCCTCACCGGCTCGATCGAAATTACGCCACAGTCCCATCGAGATCAGTCACCCAGGATTCTTTCCCCCTTTTTGTCTATGACTGCCTAAGTAGTTATCTGTTATACAGTAGTCTCTAGTTTAGTATCCTATCTTGAAACATCCTATAATCCACATAGATCTCCATATAAAGGAATCACTAGTCAAGGCGTTTAGCAACAGTATCAAATCCACAGCCGAAACGAGATCTGGATTATTTTTCCGCCTATCTATCCTATAGACGACTAGTAGATCTATTTCCCGCAGTGGTGGTAGTGCATGACTCACGTACTTGCGCAGATCGTCCATATGGTTACGATACTGTATACTCCTACCTACCAATGTGCTTCGAGGACTGACCAGAGGTGGGTGTTATTGCGATTGTGCCCCTCGTTGCCCGGAAATTCATTTAAATTCCAAGTCTCCCCTTTTATTTCTTCGTTGGCTTTCAAAATCATCTAAATATCTTTGTCTCTCATCCTCTTTTCGTTCCCACTTCTTCGCGTTTCAAATCCACTTCTACCAATTTCTCCAAAACATTTCCTGATCAAATTCTGCCAAAATGGTTGTCCATGCTATCAAGACGTATGTTTTTCTGATTCTTTTGCGTTAACCTCCCTATACTACTGTCTTCCAGGAATCAAAATATTAACTTCATCATTTTTAGGCCTGCTGAATTCACCGAGAAGGCCATCAACTCTGAGAAGCAAGTCGCAGTCATGTTCTTCGCGGATTGGTCCACTCCTTGCAAGGTGATGCGCCTTGCCCCCGAGAAGCTCAGTGAGGAATACCCGTCCATCGAATTCTACAATGTAAATGTTGACGACCTTGACCAACTCTCTACTGATTGGGGTGTTACTTCATTTCCTACTTACCTCTTCTTCAAAGACGGTGCACAACTCGATAACTTCACTGTCCGTGGTGCCTTCACCAAGAATGTTATTGATGTTCTCGAAGACATGTCTCAAAGTGGTGATGAACAGGTATAAGACTACAAATGATTACCAGCCTTAGAGAATTTTTATTCTTTAATCTATTTATTTATTATTATTATTATTATTATTATTATTATTATTTTTACCTCCATTATTAGAGCTCCAAATTACACTGCCTTTTTTATCCCCCCTTAACGCAATGGCTATTTGTGCTTTGTGCATCACTATATAGTCACTCTCTATAGCTAACATACACAGATTTAGCCCTATCATGTGACTGACTTTTACCCAGAACATCTTATCTGAGTACTTCTCGGAGACTAGTATTGACTCTATCATTTTGAATTGCTGTAGTCCTTTACTATCTTACTTTAGGGTCTCGTTCTTAGTATGAGCGCCGTTAGTGCCCATGGAGCTGGCACTAGGAGGGTATTCTAGAAGGTATCCTGAAAGGCACCTTAAAACAGACTCAGGAGTAGATGTGGAAAATGGTTTTGGAGGTATCCTGGAAGGGTGACAGTCTTGGAAGTAGATTTGAGTACGTGACATTATTTCTATAGTTTTCTGCCAAATTTAAATAATGTATGGGGCTAATTCTATCTCATGGAATAGAGTCCTAAAGTCCGGCCAGGTGTAGTATCCACATCAAGGCCACCGTTGGATAATGCATGTGTCGACAATTACTTCTCAAGAGCGTACTGTAATAGAATTTTGAAGGGCTATCATAAAAGCATAAACACGTTACATCGATAAATCCGTCATTCATTGATCAAAACCAGTCCGTGGGTTCCATGGCATTCAGCCAAAAACGCCGTCTCGGGGATATCTCAACCAGGAATAGTATGTGCCCAGCCAACAACCATACCAATATACAATAAGCAAATAATCCAGCCAATATCGAGGAAGTTGCAGAAACTCACAGAGGGAATCCAAAGCAAGGGAATAAAAGAAAGAAAACATTATCGTCAAGCAGACAGAGAGTGCACGCTTTAAGCACCACCACGGCCCATTCGTTCAATGGATCCCATGATACCACTGCGCCCGGGTGTGGGGAGGGCGATCCCGGACTTACTGCCGCTGTTGCCTCGTGCATGTCGGTTGCCCACTGCACCGATCTTAGGGATTCTCTTCTCGCCATTGCTCGAGGTGGTACTTGGAGGACGAATGCCACTTGATGTGCTGCCACGGCTAACGCTCCTCTGGAAGCTCTCAGTGGGAGGTTCCGGGGCAGCAAACACTGGCTCTGGCGACTCAAGCTCTCTGGTGGTCAAAGGTTGAGGGGCACTCTGTGCTGGGGGCTGGTCCTGCTGGATTGCCAACCATTCATCCACAGCTGCCACCAATTCGCCTTTCTCTGCTCGCTCCTGCTTCAGCTCCGCGTGCAGGCGCTCGTTGTCTTCTTTCAGTGCCGCCATTTCCTGCTGCAATCCCTTGATCTGTGCCTCCATCACACGCTTCTCTGCTTCGTGCTCCTCCCGCTCCTGTGCGAACAGACTAGGGTCGACTTGTGGGGGCTCTGACACGGCGGCATCTCGCTCTATTCTCAGTCGCTCATTCTCTTTGTTGGCAGCAGTCAGCTTATTCTCGGCTTCACGCACGCGCTTTTCCCAGCGAGCTTCGTAACTCTTTTTCAATGCAGCGACCTTGGTTTCGTGCTTGCTCTTATAAAGCGTATGAAGCTCACGTGCAACCTTCTCCACGGCGTCTTGCACTTCTTTGGCAGTCTCTTCGGATGTCTTGGTGCGAGACGTATTCTCAGGGGCTGCGTTCCCAGCGGAGGCAGACTGGAGAGCCGAAGCCAACTGACTCTCCAGTTCGACCACTCGGCCCTCCAACTGCTCCCTAGACTTCTCTGCCTCATCCACCTTCCTTGCCAATCGTTCTTTCTCTTGCTCACCCTCGACAATTTCAGCTCTCACTTCTCTAAGGATAGCTTCCATTTCTTGGCCCCTTCGCTGCCATTCAGCTTGCTCAAATTCCAGAGATTCCTTGCGCGCAACTTCGTTACGGACCTCTTCTAGAGCCTCTCCCACGCGGCGTTCTGCGTCTGCAACTGCCTGCTTGAGACTGGCAACCTCTGCCTCCTTTCCGCTGAGAGTGGCCTTGAGGGAAGAGATTTCGGAGAGGAAGCCGGATTTTAAAGTCTCAAGCTCCCGGGGGGTGACTGTTGGTATTGACCGAGGAGTAGGCACAGAAGGGATGTCAAAGTCCAGAAGGGAAGCCTTTGCAGGTGATCTGACGGAGTCTCTGGCGGTCCTCAAGGGAGATCGACGGGAAGGAGAGTAGCGCTCATTCTGCACACTATAACGCTGACGGGGGTAAATGCTTGGCTGATCGGTCAAATCAAGCAGATTAGGCGTATCATGTATGCTTCTTGATTCTCGCTTCCGTGGTACAGGGGATGCAAGAGGGGTTCCCATATTGTTGAGAATGCTTCGTCGAGGCGACCTCCTTGCGGGGGAAGGACTGGCCAGTTCCGCATCACCCGGATGAGGTCGTGATATCTTGTAAGGCGAATCATTTCGAAGTTGTGCGAAAGTGGTCATATCCGGAATAGCGGAGAATGTGCTGAGGCGTGTCTCATCCATAGATTCGTTGGAGTCATCCGTCATAGCGTCGTCTGCTTCCTGCAAGTCAAGGTGTTCATCGATTTCTTGGGAGCTGTCCTTGTCATTTTCATGGAGGACAGTGCTCATGCCTTCGTTGTTATTTTCCTCCACCATGCTATTCACAACTTCCTGGCCAGCACCTTCTACCAGGTCGTGATCAGCACCGAATTCAACGTCCTCATCAGCGTAGACATTGATATCTGGAGAGCTCCTCGGTCCAGTACCCTTCTTGTATCTATCATTTGGGGTCTCATCACCATCCGTACCGTCAGGGACTTGCTCGTAGGAGCGCTTTCTAGGCGTCATGGAGTGGTCACCGATGCCCCCTGAAGACATGTGCCGATTGAGGGCCCGCAGTCTCTGAAAGTCCACAGTTTCTTCTCTTGCATTGAACTGGAACGGCGAGCTAGGTGTTGGCATCACTGATTCAATATCCTCGTTATCCATACCCTGGTCGTCGTGCGATTCGTAGACATCGTGCTCAGGGATAGGATCTTCTTCTTGGACTTCTGTAGACACTTTGAAGGGGCTCGACAAGGGATCCTCAGGCGCATCCATATCGTCCTCATCTACAGCGAAAGCAGGTTTGCCATAGCTCGGCGAGAAGGCTCGGGAGTTCTGGCGCGAGGGTGTCAAGGAGGATAACGGGGTAGACATGATGACGGTGGGTAGAGTATCTCTCTTGAAGGAGACGAGATTGGAAATCTCGATAGTGTTGACTAGCGTCCCGACACCAGTCGATGAGGAAGGGTATGGAGCAGTCTCAGAGTTCGTGTGGAGGGACAACAATGTGGAGTTTGTGATGGGGTTCGAGGCGGCGTTTATTATGATGATGATTATTTTCGGGCCGTTGCCAGGATGTCGCGGTAAACAAAACTAACCCTAATAGGGGCTAGCGTGGCGTTAGTGCGGCGGTGGTAACCGGCAAAAACCCTGGATTTCTCACCGCCCTGCGATGAGGGCAGCCAAACTCGTCCTACCGCCTTTGTCTGCATCATCGACAGTCGACTACAGGACCCCAGATGTACGCAAATGCCAAACGACTGTGTAGGTTTGATCAAGTTTATATGTAGTATATGATTTGGTATTGTTTCGTTCTATATACAGTGATAAACTCCGGGACACCTCTTGAGCGCTAGAATGCAGCACAGGGAATCATTTTCGATAACAACAATATCATGGTATCATAGTATGCAAGATAGAACGCATAGCTCTCATGCAGATAAGTCTCATGAAAGAGTCCTACCGTTGCCTTCAGATAGAGGTACTCCTATACATGGCCAGTCCCATCGTCATCAACGTCTGTCACAATGATATGGACGGTCTCATCTTTGACTGGCGTAGCATGAGACGCGTAGTGGCAATGCGCAGCTGGCTGAACCGTGATAGAGGCATATTTCTTTTGTTCAATGAAGAAGAGCTGCACAGCGCCGATGGCTGCGACAAAAGTGCTTCCCCACCAGGCCAGGGCCGTAAAATCGATCTTGGAACCCGTACTATACAAGAAGCCTGCAATCGGTGGAGCCATCGTGCGTGAGAAGGCGCCGGCCGAGGCCGCGAGTCCATTGATCTTGCCGAGTACGGAATCGGAGGGGCTGGCCTGTTTGATGAGAATCAGAAGGACGGGGTAATCGATGATCGAGAGGATGTTGCGGACAACCAAGCAGGTGTAGATGCCGAAGATCACATGTTGGCTAGGAACGAAGATAAGGAAGGGTACGATAAAATAGGCTAGCGGATGAAGGATGGTGACGACAACAAAGAGCCTCCAGACACCCAGGCGCTGAGCCAGGAAAGGGAAGATAAGGCTCTGGATGACAAGTGCAATTATGCCATCACTTGACATGATCAATCCAACGGTTCGAGTTGAGAGGCCGACCCCGCCCGGAAAACGGAACGCCGAATTTGACGACATGGCAATGCTGCTGGCATTCTTATCTTGCAAGAAAATGGGCAACAGATGGTCATACGTCATGGAATGGTAAGTGAAGATTGCCAAGGCGATGATAAGCATGGTCACTCGCCATGTGAAAATAGTCGGCTTTTGCGGAGTGGATTCAGGCTTCGACCCATCGGCATACACTGTCCAATCTTCATCTTCATGGAGATGGACTTGGTTGAAAGTACCGTAGGACTCTGCACGTAAATCTGCGCCTGCGTTGGCGGTAGCTCCTGCAGTTGCAAGTAGAGGACGCTCCACGGAAGGATGATCCAGGTCATCTGGCCTACTGCACGGTTGCATATCAGGGTGAGTCTCCTCGAGTAAGATCCAGCTGGAGATGATGCTGCAGAGAAGTAATCCGGAGCAGACGATATTAGGCAGAAGGTAAGGGAATTTGCCAAATAGGCCATTCATGGAGAACAAGGAGGGGAAACCTTCAGCAGGCTTTGCCAGCAAACCTCCTATCGCTAGTGGATGAAGCCATTAACACCTGTGTCCATTTG